GTCCGCAATGTTGTCCGGGATCTGATGAACCAGATCCCTGCTCAGAAGAACTCGCGCCGTGGTCTGGCGGTGAACGAGTACCTGGTTGTCAACGGTGCAGAGAACGTCTGGGCCGTCGGTGACTGTGCTGTTACCAACTATGCCCCCACTGCCCAGGTTGCCAGTCAGGAAGGTGCTTTCCTTGCCCGCCTTTTCAACACCATGGCCAAGACTGAGGCTATCGAAAAGGAGCTGAAGAAGCTCTCCGAGGCTCAGGCCGAGGCCAAGAATGAGGAGGAGCGCAACAAGATTTTCGACGAGATCCGCGAGCGCCAGAAGCAGTTGCGGAGAACCAAGCAGATTGGCCCCTTCCAGTACTCTCACCAGGGAAGTCTGGCTTATATTGGAAAGGAGCGTGCGGTTGCAGACATCAGCTGGCTGAGCGGCAACATCGCGAGTGGTGGAACAGTCACCTACCTCTTCTGGCGCAGTGCCTACCTGAGCATGTGCTTCAGCAGTAAGTGCCTCCTTCACTCTGCCAATTACAATCTCGTTCCTTTTCCCTTTCTAACAACTTCAATAGCACGTAACCGTGTCCTGGTCGCTGCCGACTGGCTCAAGGCCAAGCTCTTTGGACGTGACGTCTCTCGGGAGTAAATGACTACTTTCTGCCCCCCAAAACGGAGACTCTTTACCCTCCGTACCTTCGCATACCCTTATGTCAATGATTTGAAGCGAAAGCTGTTACCCCCCGTCTTCTTCGACATCTACCGTTTCATTACGCCCGCTCTATGATTACCTACCAATTTCTCTTTCCTTTCTCCACCCTGTTGAGGTGCCGTCGTCATTATGCGTCCGTCACAGTCGACCGTCCGAGACGAATCTCGCCGAAAGATCCACTCACTGATCGGACCCAATGGTCGCAGAAGTGGAGAAAAGTGTAACTTTCTGTCCTTTTCTTTTGTCTGTGTATGAATTAGATAGACTGGGGATGGGATTGTTCTTTAGACATTTAGATATGGCCATAATTCTTTTTCTGTATGATTCGTACCCGATCTGTCCCTGATGCTTCGAACTGTTATCAGCTATGTCTGGTTCTGTTAATTGCATTGAGCTTGGCAAATGGAAATAATGGAGAATATGTGATTTGCGTACATGGTTGCTACTAATCTGCTTGCAACTGTCCTACAGGCTCACAATTCTGACACCGGATCCAATCACCTGTGCCAAGATAACTACTCTCGACCATAAAAGATCATGAGTTCAATGACCAAAAAGTGTCTATATTTGTCTTCTATTAGAGTTCCGCTTTAGAACCCAACTTCTATACCTAAGTATTTTTACATTCAGACGGAGGAGGAAGGAAAAGAACCCCAGGGGAGAAAAGGAAAGGAGAAACGAGAAACGAGAAAGAATACCAATCCAGAAGGTATTTGACTCTGATTAAGGCGATGGAAAAGGAAACTTGAGCAGCTGGACTGAGAGGAGAGACGCTAGGGGGTAGTGAGTGATATAGTCGATGGTATGGTATGTAGATGCAAAGCACAGGAGTATGGGATATCATGTAGAAAATAGCAATCAATCAATCAGAACAGGTTCCATCCACGGCTTCTCTGCTCCTTGGCTGCCAAGGGGCGGTCCGAGTTTCTTTGCTTGCTCCGTCCGTCAAGCTGTCGGATACTTTCGATCTTCTCCAGGGCAAGTTCGAGCAGCTCCTTCTTCCGGATGACGTCGAGATGTTTCCGGACGCGCGGGTCCTCTCGTGCAAACCGTTCCACTTCGGCGTCGGAGAGGTGTCGGCCCAGTCTCATGTCTAGCTCGCGGGGGAAGTTGTAGTAGAACTCGGAGAGCAGCTCGACATTGAGGAAGAGAACTGCCGTCGACGTGAGCTTGTCTGCAACCACATCAAGGAAGACTTCGGGACAGTAATATTTATTCTTCTTTGATGCGCACTGTTTCGAACGGATGGCGAGCAGGCGCATTTTGATCAGGTCGGCACGGTCACGCAGGAAGACGCCTTCCCGGCCTGTTCTCTTTGTTAGTACTGCGGTAGGAACGGTCAACTGCGAAAGACGCAACATACCTTTATTCAGCAGGGCGGAGCTGAATCCACCTGCACCAGCGGCGCCGTCGCCTTCCAGGACTACTTCGCCCTTTCTGACTTTATCAACGAATGTCATCACATCCTTGAATTTCTTCTTGCCAACGGCCTCTTCGACACGTCGGTAAGCAGCGTCGCATGCTTTGAGCTCCTCCTTCAGTACGCGACTGACATTCTCCCGGCCCTTTGCCCATTCTGGGTCCTCAACTTCGATTTCGAACTTGTAAGGCTTGATGCAGTTTTCAACCTGATCACTAGTGCTGAAGAAGCGGTCGTTCAGGATGCTAGTGCAAGCCTCCATGATCTGCTTCTGTGCATAAGGGTGATTTGCAAACGTAGAGTTTGCCAGCAACTGGTCAACTTGGTTTTGAATAGCATTGGCAACAACAGTAGTCGCAAGCCTGCCGATTCCCAACTTTGTCAGAGAGGAGGTCGAGGCATCTAACTTACGCCGCCAGTATTGCGAGTCGGCATCCGCTTTGGGAAGGTCGCTGAGAGGATCTAACTCTGGCATCGAGGCTGCCAAATCCTCAATCGGCTTATTCCAGTATCTTTGCGCCAGTATGTCCATGACGCGCTGATCCAGTTCATTCTTCAACATTTCCCGAACCTGGGGTCGACCGAAGCTCTCAGCAAACGCTTTGAACGAATGCTTGAAGCTATCCAGGCTCTCAGCAAGATAGGACTCAGCACTTAGTGGTCGATCGTTATATTGCACTTTAAATTCGTACGTGGCCTCCTCGAGTTCTTGGCTGATGGCGTCCCTAGTACCCGCTAGGCTTGCTGCCATCGTTTGCTCAAGAACATGCATGAGTTTGCCTCGCAGCGTGGATACGCCCACTGATACACCCGACTGAGGACCGAATTCGGACGGATGAGCCGAAAAGTAGGCATTCTCGTTCTTGAGAATCGCACTAGTGATATTGCCGCTACCTCTGGAAAACAGAGCAGTTGTCTGAGGAATTCGTGATACCACACCAACGTAGCCCAGACGCAAAGGGTATTTCTGATCCGAAAGTATGCTCAGTCCTCGCTCCGGATCGACAAGATCCATCTTTGTGATGACTCCGATCGTTCTCTCACCCCGAGGGTCCACCCTGCGACTTGCTCTCAGGGCGGTAGAATTGGCGAGATCAACATCCGCGGCAGAAATTGCGAGAATCACATTAGGTGGCTGAATGTACTTGTCGCAGAGGTCGGAAATTTTCTGCTTGAGCTCTGGCGGCTGGTCTTTTCCAGCAACTTGGATATACCCCGGAAGATCAATCAGGGAAAGATCCGGAACGTTGGGGGAGTAGATAGTAAGCTGGATTGGGTCATCCGAGACACAGTCCCGTTCGGGAACTGCAAGATTGAGGTCGGTCAAGGTCCGCTGAATTTGCGAGAAATCCGTAATTTTCCCTAGACCCAGAGCAGGAAACTCTCCATATTCTGATTGTGCGTTTGGAGTGTTGACTAGTGTGAGCTCGATTGGCCGCCGGGTCACCATGTTGGTCCCTTTGGGCAGGAACTCGTGTCCAACGATGGCTTCGAGAACAGAACTTTTGCCAGAAGATTGTGATCCGATGACAACAATAGATGGCAGTGTGAGTGTACCGGACTGCCCGACGGTCTGAAGAATATTCCTGATCTCGATCATCTTCCGCGTAAGAAGCATCATCTGGTCATCCTCGGCGATCTGTCTCGCGTGACGGACGTCATCTTCGTCAGACTGGCTGTAACCAAAAGCCGAGCCAGTAGCCACCCCAGCTACACCAGCACCAGCTCGACTTTCTTTAGGGGACTCCCCTCCTCCGGACGAACCACCGTTTCCGTCGCGTGAACCTTCATCAAGGCGGAGGATCTTCTGCAGCCATTCCGGGACTTCGATGTCTTCAGTGGTTTTCTGCCAGCCGCGATGAGTCTGTTCGGCAACATTCTGTAATTCTTGAAAGAAACCCGAGGCAGCGCCACCAGCCGTCTCGCCCGCTCGTTTGAATATATCAATTGCGTAATTCCCTGCCTCTATAGAGATTGTCAGCCAGTCGCACTACTCATTAGCAATTAGTGACCGAAGACGCACGGGTAGCCTGGTACTGGATATAAGCAAAGCCTGCGACCATAGCTCCTCCAAACATCGCCGGTAGTCTGACCATTTTCAAAGCAAGCTTCGGGAGCATCCGTGCAAAGGAGATCGTCCGCACGGCAGGAACATTGTGAATTGCATTTGCTCCAACAGGCCAAGCACGGCCTCGAAGTGCAGCACCTCCCTCTGAGCGTAGTAGCCCTCCAGTTCTTGCGCCAGCATTGTGGACATGGCGGGCCAGAAGGCCCGTCCGCAACAGCGGAACAAGACGGTGCGAGAGTATTCTCCCGCTCATGGCTTTTGAACACTCATACACCACAGATCAGCGGGGGAGTATAACTTATCATCTCCGAGCTGCAAGCTGCGGACGGCTATGATACTTGCTGTTTTGTGTCGAAAGCTGGATAACTTGAATGACGGTTGATGTAATCAACAATGGTCCCGTGATGGAAGGCGAATCTCCACTACTAAATTCCCGTGACTTGCGCTTTTGGCCGTTTCGTACACCGGAGAAAGTCGGTGTGAGTCACGTGTGGCTCAATGAGGAATACATGAAGGCTCACAATTGAAGGAGTGGTTTCAAGGAGCTGACTGGGTTGTCGAGTAACTATCATTTTGCCACACACTTTCGTGGAACCCAAGGGTTGCCGTTGGTTGTTGTGCAAGCGAATGGTGGAAGACAAGGTCTGGCTTTCATCATCGGCCTGTGCATTCACGGCATAGAGCTAAATAGTCCAAGATTGTACATGGTCTGGACTCTGAAGCTTCCCAATTTCTATTAAGTTGGACTTCGTTCTGGACGCCTTTTAAGGACTTTTCTTTACTGTTTAGAGCTATTACTCTACATCGCGAAGCATGTGCCGTTTCCTGGTATGGCCAAGTATCGACTACTTATACCATGCTACCTGACTGACAGCTTCTTCGCCAGGTATACAAGGGTAGACATGAGATTCGTCTCAGCAAATTAGTGACAGAGCCCAGTCACTCGATCTTAACACAGTCCTATGACTCTCGCTTACGCTTAGTAAGTTCTACTTCAAACATTGAGCAGATCCTCATTCTCGTTTGCCCATTCGCTTGCACGAAGCATAGCTGACGTCTCGGCCTTCAGGATAATCGCCGGCCTGTCAACGGAGATGGCTTCGGCGTAGGGTTCTACACTGACCCCAAGCTAGGCCCAGAACCCTGCATATTCACATCGACACTTCCGGCTTGGAACTGTGAGAACCTGGAGCGCCTGGCTTCCAAGACATGCTCGAACCTCATCTTCGCGCACGTCCGCGCCACAACGGAGGGGACGCTCTCCGATACTAACTGCCACCCATTCCAGCATCAGACTCTGATGTGGATGCACAATGGCAACGTAGGCGGCTGGCAATACATCAAGCGCACGCTAGCCGACTCGCTCGCGGACAAGTGGTACCTCGGCGTAAAGGGCGGCACAGATAGTGAATGGGCCTTTGCGCTATTCCTTGACCTTTTGGAGAAGGAAGGGGTTGATCCCAGCTCGAATCCCGGGCCGGAGGGCTTTGGACAGGCGCTACTGCGAAAAGTGATGGTTAAGACCATCGCAAAGATCAATGAGTTCATCCGCGATATTCCCAAGAGACATAATGCTTCCGGCGTGGAGACTCGCAGTTTGCTCAACTTTGCTGTGACGGACGGCCATACTGTGGTTTGTACCCGTTATATCAGCAGCAAGACGGACGAGCCCGCTAGTCTGTATTTCTCGTCGGGGACAAAATGGAAAGAAGGAAAAGACAAAGGTCACTTCAAGATGGAGCGCCACGATAAAGGAGCAGATATTGTGTTGGTCGCTAGTGAGCCCATCACATTCGAACGCCGTGAGCCACTCAATTCACCTACTGTGATATACTCGAGCTAATCTGTCCTTCAGATAACTGGGTATCCGTCCCTGCGAACTCGATAGTCACGATCCACAAGCAGTCTGTCCTTCTACATCCCATTTTGGACGAGTTCTACACTGAGGACATCAACCAGGATCGGTCTTCATGCTACGCCGTCTCCAAAGGCCTTGTCAGCACTGCACCGGGGACAACGGTTCAGCCTCAAGAAGCAGACGGTTTGAAGGATCCTGCCATTAGTGGCAAGGGCACGAGATTGGACGATTTGGATGTGCGGTTATCGAACCAATGCGCACTGTCGCACTGATCCAGTCGCGCATCCGAAAGATTGACACTTGCGTGATTGGTAAGTAATGGAGTTGTCGTCGCTTTTATTTTTGAGAATGTCACAATGGGCGCAACGAGATACCACCATTGGCTGTTGCTGGGTTTGGATGAGGATGGTTGGGAGAGATTCTTCTTTGTTGGATATGTCATGAACTTTATTATTTCGGATCCATTCTTTGAATTTAATGTCAGTATGCAATAGAGTACAAGCGGTTATTTAGGCGCTGAACAAAGGATTTGAAGTTGTTCATGTATCATCCCCAGTGATATTGGCATGCTTGAAATACTTCATGCCCACCCAGGCAACGACAACCCACACCCACGACATGACAGCCGTTAAAATAATCAAGGCAGGATAGTACCCCACAATGGGCAATGTAGGATCATCCTCCAGCTCTGGCGGCGCATAGGGCGTCTCACCAACATCCCAAGCCCAACTCCAAACACCGAAACAACTGCCCATTCCCACCACGAAAACCAGCCAAGTCACGATCAAGATGATCCACCCCCACCACTCGGTTTCGGAGTAATCCCAGACGATTTCTTGGCTGGACTTGAGGTCAACAACATGCGTGGCAAGAGGCGACTTGGTGCGATGCACGGCTCTATACGACGCGTCCGTCGGCAGAGCATAGTAGGAGTCCGAACTCGATGGGGGCGTCGGTATACGTAATCCCGCGGCACCGCTGGTACTGCTGGTAGAGGAGTTTCTAAAGACAGAGCCGATGGCAGCCTTGGCATTCTTGACGCGAGGAAGAGCAATCATATCCTCATCGTCCGTGCCAATCTCGTCTCCAAGCACGGTCTCCTTCGAGAGACCCTTCCGCGGCCGCTGGGATGCAGAGGCAGTCGGGATTTCCCGCTCGTCATGCACGAGACCCCAGTTGGCATTGTTCTCATCAGACTGGGCTGCTGCAGTTCTAAGAGACGTAGGTTGATCCTGCGTTGAGACCGAATCGGCTATGGATGGGACCAGGACGTTCGTACTCTGATCGTGCGGTGGCGCTTTGCCATCCGCTCGTAACACATCGATCGACGCCCGAGTAGCCTTCTTATCTCGATAGTCGAATCGCGTTCCCAGTAGCGCAGTTTTCCTTAGCGAGCCCCTTCTTCTTCGCGTTCTCCGTTGTTGTAAAGCGCTCGACATCGCCCTCCCACCCTGCAATCCGGAACCGAATTCCTCTTCATCGTGCTTATCACCGTCTAAATGCGATCGTTCGGTATTGTGGTGCGTCCCGGTGTTCATTCGGAGAAAGGAGAATTTCGATAGCAGCGAGCCGGACGTGTTGCGCTTGTGTCCGTTGCTTGTGCTTCCTGAGCGTGCCCTTCCAGAAAGCCGGTCATCCTTGTCGAGGGATAGTGTCACGTTTTTAGTGTCGCCTGCATCTTCCATTGGCGCAAGCCGGGCGCAAGTGACCCGGTTATAGATATACTAAACATTCAATCCTTCGTCGCGCGAATTTGTACCCGTTCAGGGGTCACTCTGGGTGGAGATTCCATTCGGCGGATTAAAGTTGTGATGCAAGGCGAGTGCGGGAGGCAGACGTGGTGGGCCTAGGGCCAAGACTTCCGGCGCCAACCTTCTCCTCACCACTCCACAATCCAGGTGCATCGCCAAAACGATACCTGACTGAAAGGTCAACAAGCGGCCAAAATGATTCCTAAGTGAGCAGCTCAACCTTAAGTTTGGCAGAATTATGAAGCCATATTTCAAATACAAGAGCTAACTACAATCCACAGACATGGCTCTGTCACTTATTCGAAATACAGTGTATGATTTATTTAAGGCCGCAAGTATTTCCTAAGACGAGCATAAGGTATATCTTTCAGAGCGCCAGAGACAGCGATAGGAGCCAGGGTGAAAGATGGCGGCTCACAAGAGAAAAAAGGCGAGCACAATGTTGACTCACATGTATTGCAAGAAGAGCATAATCATAATTGTTATACGAGTGTGCAGGACACCCGACCAAAAAATGAGGTGGCTGAAGGAACGAGAGCAAAATAGCACTATCAAGAAGGAAGGGCTTGCTGAATCGGCTTGAAATACATATTCATCCAATAGAGAAGACAACATAGATGGAGAAGATAGATACGATACACGCCCAGAAGTAGGTATTTTATGAAGATGATAGTCAAAAGGTATCAAGTCGAGGGCTAGGTAGGTGATGATAGGTACTTTTCGTTTGTTCCGAAGAAAACTTGAATCAGAAGTCCCAAAAAGCTTCGCTCACAATCTGCGTAGAATCATTCAAAGAACAGAGCAGGGCCTTGATGCAAACAAAGTGGACTTGGGGTATTGGTGTACGTAAACACACAAAATTTCATTTGAAAAGAAGCACTTGAGAATGGGAAACATGCGCTCGATAATCCACTTCATAGGCCAATCGTGAGACGAAGAAGTAAAGCCATAGAAATGAGAGAAAAGAAGAGGAGATTTGCGGTGAAAGTATAGAGCAGAAAAGTGGGATAGTCCGTGAAACAGAGAGTGTAAAATGAAACCGAGTACACCAAATTTCTCACCATCGCTGTTGTAAATAGCTGCGCACCTTGTCGGTAATCTGGCTGGGCTGCTCCAGAAAGGCCCATATACAGCATTATAGGCTAGAGACAAGCTACGCTTGGTAGCCCCCAAAGCCATTTCCAAAGCTGCCGTTGTTTGGCTGGTTCCAGCCAGAGTTGGGTGTGGCCTGTCCGCGGCCGAAGCCCGCATTCTGGGGGGCCTGGCCATATCCTTGGCCAGTCATTCCCCCTTGCTCCCAGCCTCGCCCAGCAGGAGTGGGGCCTATGATAGGATAGATTAGTCGTTATAACAAATCACTGGGGGAAAAATATGTAACGTACCCTGAGGGGTAATAGGAGCACCAGGGCCACCGTATTGAGGGAAGTATGTAGCTGGACTGGAGTTGAAGGGTGAATTGGGTTGCTGGCCGGAGAAATTGTCGAATTGGCCGGTAGGAGGACGGTCCTTACCCCACTATAACGGTCAGTAAAAGATGCCTTAGAATAAGAACGAAAAAGGCGAGAGCAAACGTACGCTGCATTTCAGAGGACGTCCGTTAACATTGTACCCATTCAATTGGCAAATAGCCATCGCAGCATTTTCGTGTGTATCCATCTTGATAAAGGCGAATCCACGGTCTGCTTGAAGGCGCGTCTCAAGTACATATCCAAAATTGTGAAAGAGAGGGACAAGGTCGTTTTGCGTAGTGTACGGAGTCAGGTTACCCACGTAGCATGTAGTCTGCCACTGTGGGGTCTGCTGAACGACCATGTCGTAGCTTTGGACCCCATGCGTAGGGAAGTGGTGATGGCCAAAGGGTGTAGTGGGAGTCATGCCCATGGCCGCCATAGCCTGCTGTTGAGAAATAGAAGGCTGTCCCTTCTGATTAGCCCAGTTGCAGCGAATGGCACGCGAACCGAGCCATTCGCCGTCCATGGCATTCAGTGCTTTCTCTGCATCGGAACGCTCACGGAATGCAACGAAGCCATAGCCACGGGAACGACCAGTCTTCATATCCCACATGACGCGAGCCTCTGACACCGAACCGAAGGCGGAGAAGGCCTGGAGCAGGATCTCGTCATTGACTTCGTTGCTTAGATCGCCGACGAAAATGTGAAAGTGAGAAGAAGTATCTTCTTTGTTCGTGGAATTTGACTGGTAAGCCCAGTTCACCCGAATTTCCTATATCACACTCAGTAATGGGACCACAAGGCGACGAGTTTGTAAGTATTCAAAAAATGCATACCGACTGGTGGATTCGACGGCCGTTGAGGGTCTGCATAGCCCTCTCAGCCGCGCCAGGGTCATCAAATTCAACAAATCCGTAGTTGTATCCTTTGCTGTTGAACTTTCAAAATGTTAACATAGCTTTTTAAGGATTATCGCAATAGGGAGGGGTAAAGCTTACATTTTTGTCGGGGATGATCTTCACACTCTGGACATGACCGGTGGTCTCGAAGATTTGCTTCAGGATATCCTCAGTCACCCTTGGATCAAGTCCTCCAACGTACAGAGCTCTCTTGTTTGGCTCGGGGGCGGCACGGCGCACATATCCACCAGCACTGGTCGGGGACATCATGTTCCCGGACATTGGGGACGTGATAGCGGTTGGGATAGGATTGGTGTTCTGAGGAATGATGACAGGCGGACGAGGCGGGGGTGGCATATGGGAAGGATTGGCTTGGCCGTTGCCCTGAGAAGTATCGTACTGCTGACCCGAAGCAGACGATGCTTGCGGAGGCGGAGGTGGGAGGGTGGAAGACCCAGAAGAGGACATGTTCTCGGCCATTGTGGTTGATAAGAGGGTAAAATCAGCAAGGATCGTCAAGCGATACAATGCACAAGTGGATCGGCGATGGAAGCGTTAAGCTGGGATGCGCTGTTTGTTGCTCGACGGTGCACAGCGTTTAGCAGTCAACAAAGTCGATGTTGATCGAGAAGGCGGAAAGCGACGCGGGGATCGAGGCACCGAAAGAAGCAAGATTCGCTAGATCAAGAAAATCGAGAGACGGCAGTCTTTCAAAGAAAAAAAAGAATCGCTCACGAAGGAGCTCTGTGATGAATTAAAATACGTTAAGTCAGGACGACTCGAACACGGCTCTTTTCAGCACTCAGCCCCAACAAGTTTAGATACGTGGTGGTAGGAAAAAAAAGCTTAAGATCCGGGTTTGACAAACACAAGTGATTGTCGGGAGAGGGGGAAAGAGACGAAGGACAAAGAAGAATAAAAGCGCCAAAATGGAAAAGCGAAACAAAGAGAGAAAAAAGGAAAACAAGATCACAGAGATCTTGACACCAACAGAAGCGCGATGGAGGAAAATGCTAGGAGTGAGATGAGATGGGAACAGGGGAAGAAGAAGAAGAAGAGATGTGATGTGATGATCTTTGGTAGGCCACTAGAGATGCTCTACCATACCTTTACTAACTAGTCCAGACGGGAGGAGTTTCTAACAGCTGGAGCAAAAGGACGACCAAACTGTGGATGGGCAACTGGCAAAGAGCCGCCTGGTGGGTGACACGCTAGTCCTGATGAGGTTAGCGTATTGAGATAGATGCCGCTGGTCATAAGAGGGCGCTTAACTTGACTCTATCTGGTCCTTGTGAATGGGTTCGATTTGGGCCGAGATTCTCTCAAGCACACCAGGCAGATATTGTGCGGTCTGAAAGTTGAAGTTGAAGGTGAGCTCTTCAAATGATTCTCTGACCGAATGATTTTTGTCCTTGTATGTATCTTATGCATCATTTGTTTCGATCAATGCATAGTCTTTGTCAGTTGTTTGTCCTAGACTCAGGGACGAGATACCCAAAAATGAAAGAACCATAGGCATGCTGCCAGTATCGAACTAACTTTGTCGCACACTGCAGGTAGTGCCCATCATTGGATGAATATCTTCAGTTCATTTTAGATGAATCGGAGCGTTTGCCATCATGGAAACCTCAAATTATTCAAATCCAGAGTCCCTTGCTGTGTTAACAGCTATGGTCAATCAGACGGTAATGTGGCATCTTTTCTCGCTGTCTTCGTGGGTCGATATTACTAACTGCTGATAGCTCGTTGAAATGGGTCGATTTTTTCGAGCTGGTGGCTCAACACAGGCCAGGGCTCGTTTCAAAAAGACGATCCCGGCGGCTCACGAACGTTTCCAGGCTGCACTCGACGATCTATCTGAGCAAATAGTATGTGTTTAACGTGACTTTTCTGCGGCATTTTGTGCTTCAACGGGACAGCTATTGACAGACGGCAGTTTATCGCAAAAGCGTTTCTCGAAAGAGACTATGAGGGAATCAGAGCAGAGAAAGCAGCTCTACAGCCTGCTCAAGAGGTGGCTATGGATGAGCCAAGCAACAGGTCGGAAAATGAAGGCGCACAAGAGCCGCCCCAAAAGATAGAGGAAGTAACAGAGACGAAACCGCTCGAATCCCAGTTGGACGAAGAGCCTACTACCGTGCAAGAGCCTCTCACTGGCGATAAGCCGTCACAGGAGACTGAAGGCAAAATTGTCAAGGTGGAAAAGCAAGAAGGACAGTCCACGGCGCCAGATCAATCAGTCCCTGGAACTACAGAAATCAACTTCGACTCCATGCTCAATGACGGCGGGAGTGGGCCCAATGAGTTCGATCTTCATCTCGATTTTGGAGATGATGATATTGGGAATCAGAATTTCCTATCTGGCTCGAGTCTTGGAAATACAGGTATCGGCGGCGATATCGGCCAGGAGACCGATCAGTCGGGCGCTATGGCGTCGATGTTCTCTAAAGAGGGGGATAACCTTGGCAGTGGTCCTACGGGAGGCGATGCATTCGATTTAGAGTTCCAGAAAACTGATGGATTTCCAGGTCAGGACCAGCAAGCGGGAGGACAGATGAGCAACAATGCGGACGATGTTATGGCG